GACCTTGTAGACTTTTTCAACCATTGCTTATATCCAAACAACTATGGTCTTCCATTTCTATGGATTTTATTACAAATCTTTTAAGTTCAAGTTCATATGACTCTATATTTGTAATTGTAGATCGCTTCATCAAAATGGCATATTTTGTATTATATACAAAATCTATTTCAGGTGAAGAAATAGCTAAGTTTTTTATTAATAATATCTATTGCTATCATGGACTGCCAAAAGATATTATATTAGATAGAGGGACTCAATTTATATCAAGATTCTAGAGAGTCCTATTCAAGATTCTAAAGATGGATATAAAACTTTCTTCAACTTTTCAACATCAAATTGATAGGCAAATAAAATAGGTGAATCAAGTTTTGGAGTAGTATTTGAGGTATAGTATCAACTATCATCAAGATGATTGAAAAACTCTTTTGTCATTGGTAGAGTTTGCATACAATAATTTGGTAAATTCTTTTACTCAACAAATACATTTTTTTGCCAATTATGGCTTTCATCAACAACTTGATACTTTTGACTTTTCAAAAGTTAACAAACTTATGGTGAAAGATTTAACAAATCATTTTTCAAAGTGACATGCAATAATGACATTATTAAAAGAAGCTCTTGAACAACAAAAGATCCACATTGATGCTTGTCACAAAGAACAACTACAATTCAATGTGGATGATAAGGTATGATTACTTTATTGTAATATTAATACTACTTGTCCTTGTAATAAGTTGAACTATCATTATCTAGGACCTTTTCTTATTTGTGAATTAATCAATCATATCGATTATATTTCTTAGGGTTTGTGAAGATTAGCCCTATATTTCACATGTCCCTTCTTGAGCTGTATAAGATAGTGAATATCATGGAAATAAAATAAATGCCACCTCCTCCTATAGAAGTAGATAATAATTAAAATTTTGAGGTGAAAAAAGTTTTAAATTCAAGGAGGTGCCAAAAAAGGTTAGAATATGTTATTTATTGGTATAGATATGACATTAGTAAATGCACATGGGAGCTAACAAAGAATCTTACAAATGTAACAAAGAAGATTAAAGCCTTTTATCAACAAAATTTATCAAAAGTAAGATAAAAAATTGTAAAGTTCCATGAAATATGATGATCGCTCCTTGTGAAACTTGTCTCTAGAAGGAGTTTAGGGTGTAGGATTTAGGATTTAGGATTTTTGGTTTGTTTAGTTTAATTCAATATTATATCATCTTTGAGTGACTTTTTAGTTCTTTTGAGTGATATATGAATATATTTACGATATTCTTTCTTTAAGATTTATAGCCTTAATAGTAACAATTTTATGAGCTACTATACAAGAGAGCAGAACTCAATAGATTTTGTCATATATCTTGAAATAATATATTATATTTTTTACAAAAATTCCAACCTTATAAAATTATAGAAATTATACATTATATTTCTTCCTAAATAACTAGTCTTAGAAAAAATTTAGTCTTAGAACCTTCTTTGTTTAGAATCCAAATCTCAACACATCAAAAAAAATAAAAATAAAAATAAAAACTTATAATTCTATTATAATTAGGTCTAAATTGACTTACTTCATTTAAAAAAGATACTCAAAGATATCTCTTGTACAGTCTAAAAGCTAATATTATACGGTACTGAAGCCAAATACTTGAAAAAAAATAATTTGACCAAATAAGATATTTCTTAGGCATTCAACTACATAAAACTTCATTGTTCCTCTATGCAATAAAGTTGTTGATAGTAACAAAAAACTCTATTCCAAAGATTTGTTGCTATTCCTTAAACCTTTTTACAATATAGACACCTCAACCAATAGTAAAATAACTTAGTCAAAGGAAGAATTTACTTTGATCAAAAATAAAAGAATATATCTTTCTTGCATAGCTGCTTCAATCAAAGGTTAGTGGTTGCATTCATACTTTGTTGTAATGTCTCCTATTTCACAACACTACATGAAATCTATAAGATAAAAGAAAGTATTCAAAGATAGTATATAGTAAACTTAGAAAAGAATAATAGATAGAAACTACATGATGAGTAGAATTAGCTCTATTTATATTGAAGGATAATCATATATTTTCTAATTATCATTACAACTAAATTAAATGAGTTAAGTTAAAAATAATAAGTCACCAATGATAGCTCTTTAATAATTCCTTTGAAATATTCTATAACTTCTATTCTATAAATTAATATAGTACCATTTATAATATAATGAGGAATTGGATTGAAAAAGAAAAAGAAGAGAAGGAAGAGAAGAAGAGAGGGTGTTGATATAATCTTCTAAATACCTCATATAAATGACACCTGACAATAATATGCCTCATAATTTCTTCTCTTTTTTATATTAAAATCACCAACAATAAATCACTTCTTTCAATACACTTATTTTCTATCTCTTTATTCATTAAATAAGTCAAGCATAGAGTATTAGTACAAATATATATGATATATAAGGCATAGTAGCTATATAAAAAGAGCTAAGCTTTGCTCACTTATTTTGTAATACTTTGTTTTTTAATTTATGTATTATTTTATTTTCTAGAGTTCTAAAGGCCTTAAGTGTTAGGTTTTAGAGGTTTTAGTTTTTACAATATATTTCACAACAATGAAAAGAAAAAATATAAATAAATAAATAAATAAAAACTATTGTAAGACTCAAAGTTGTGATTTTTATTTATACTTTTACAATACACAAAGAATTCTATATGTAAACAAATTAAATTTGATGGCTAAAGATTCTAAATTCCAAACCTAATTGCAATACTCTAGTCTAAACTATGCATTAATAAAAAATTTAAGCATAATTGTATGCTACAACTTTGTCTTAATCATTTCTTTGAAGAAAACCACCTCTTTCTACATGGCAGTAGAATTTTTTAATAACTCTTGGCTAATCTTAGTAGATTCAATTGTCTACATGTTGGACAAATTAGGCAATATATTATGAAAAATGCAATAAGCAAAGATCCAATCTCTAATGGATTTCATATCCTTTATTCAATTGAGTTGGATATGAATTTCTTTGAAGAAAGCACATCGATTTTTTAGAATTTCAATACAATGTTTATTTGCAATCTATACTTTAGCTAAACAATAGTTGAACCCTTTGTTAATCAATTATTATGTGACTAGAGACTCATAGCTAGGAATAACCTTTTGATTCACACCATAGGTTGGATTGCTAAAAATTATTACTCAAGAGTAAAGTCTTTTTAAGGTTTTTGACTATCTCCATCTTTTTGAACATTATTATGTTTGTACAAGATCTAGAACAACTAGTGATTACATTGATAATACGGCACTCAAGGTCACAAACAACCTGCATATTCCTAGAGTATCTCTTTTTCTTGTCAAAGAATGTATCTTTGTCATTCTTAAGGCGCTGACTTAAAGAAAATTGTGTCTCATCAATAAGTCCAATGTAATGTTCAAAGCAAAGTAGGCTAACAAATTGGTTAATTTGAAGCCACCACATATATTACTATTTGAATGAAAGAATAGCTCAAATTATCCAATTTGTAAAGAAGTACATTGTATCATTGCCAATATCCCATATCCTTGTCAATCTTTTAATGCTTGCTCTATTTTTGTTTAATCCAAGATGCTCTATTGCTACAATCAATTGTTAAGTAATATCAATTTGTGTGCAATGACTTTTGTTTTTAAAAATGACGTGGTCTTTAATGGTTGAAAGCTCCATCTAAAAGCCTTGCTATGACATTCTCGCACTTTATCAAAATTGAACATTAGACTCATTTATAAAATAATTCAAAACTGAATCATGCAATTTGGATGTATGATTTTGAGTGAACATGAAATAAGAGTTGTTGATTGCATTTTGAACCACTATAAGTTTTTTGGTATCATTAAACTTAAAGAACTTGTCTTTAAAACTTATTGTTAACTTTCTCGCATTGTTCTTCAAATAAATTATTAAATTCTTCATCAACTGCAAAAATAGTCAATATTTCTAAGGCTTAGAGAATTTTCTATTTTTAGAATATTTAAACATGATGAAGTTGTGGTGTGGTATAGAATCATTGAGATTTAGGATTTATTGTGTTCTAAAGTGCAAAGATGAGATGATGTTGTAATATAAAAAGGAATCAAAGAAATTTAGGATTTTCTATTTTTGGAGCATAGAGACATAGTAAGGTTGTAGTATAGTATAGAGTCAAAGAAGAAAGAAAGTTGAGGTAAGTAATGCGGTATTTGATATTTCACCTTTTCTTCTTTTAATATTTTGATTTCAAAATCACCTACCTTGCAAGATGGATGATTTGGTGAAGTATCAAGTAATATTTTGAAATATCATAGAATACTTTGAAATCTCATTATGCATGAAATATCACCCAAAAAAGCCATGTTTGAATTCTCTAATGTAGATAATATTTTGGTGTTGATATTTGTATTTAATACAAATCTTGTAACTTTAAAAAAATACAACTTCTACTACAAATCTCATTATTTAGGTATGGAAATTGTTTCATCTCATTTTCTATCAATCTTTCATCCTCCTAATCCATCAGCTATAAGTAAAATTAAGAACTATATTAATTCTAAGACAACATATTATGAAGGGGCTTCCATTCTTTTGTAAGAATAATTGCTTAGTAGTTTAATAAAAAAAAAAATCATCTTCTAATATATAATTAAAGTTTGTGGTTTGATATTATTTTGGTTGATGTTTAGAAAGAAGTTCAAAATAGAAATACTTCAATTTGGAATCTTCCTTCAACATAAGATACTAGAATTAATACAATTTCATTTGACAGGAAGGCATGCAAAATCATAGAGACTTTCTTTTATTTAGTGTAGATTTTGAGGAAGTGAGAACGATGTTGCATTTCTAGTAAAGAGAATGTGGGATTTGTTACTCTAAAGATGTAGATGATGTTATATCAGTGTCATGGAACTTCAAAGGTTGGCCATTCCAAGCATTTGAAAAACATTATTGAAAAATCCAAATCTCAATCAACACAGTTGCGAGCTTGTTTCCTAACTGCAAATCCGAAACTTTAAAATCGTAGTTCATAAATGAATTTCATTCTACATTTTACCAACAATCGCTAAGAATCTGTTAGCAATTGAAGAAGCACATGGCATGACAGAACATGGAGGCAGAAGACCACAATGCATAGCTTCTGCTGAATACCTAATCTAACGCGCCAATCCTACCTGCCATAAAAATTCCAAACTTGGAGATTGTGGAGTACCGATAGGTGATCCGATTCTTGTCCAGGAGCTCACCAAGTAGCTGCCTGAACCTCTCGGGATCAGATGTCTCGCACTCGATCTCGTATGTGGTCCCATATTCGTAATGCGTTTCATCAAGCTCCAATTGCACCCCCTCCCAGTTGTACACGTTGCGCACATTCCTGAACCCACCCAAGCACAAGAACTTCTCACACTTGTACTCGCGGATGACTTGCTGAAGAAGCTTGCAATCAGATCCCACTAATTGAGATGGATTGCACACGCACGCTCTGGCTCGAGCAACATCGATGTCCTCTTCCACCTGCATGACATAAAAAGCCATTCGCGTCACACAGTATTGCTATTAGCACAATGTGCCAATTTCTTCAAAAACAGCTCCGATAACTCTCAACTAGCAGAAACCAGATAACCAATTCTTTCCAAGTGCGAATACAGGGACGAGAAGGCCACACTCTCCTGCCGCCAGGCATTCAAAAAATAACCTCTCCGAAAAGCATCGGGATGGTTTGGGGCATGCATCTTGAAAACAGAAATCAATAATGAACAGTTTCGAATATACAAGCATGACCTAGTTATGGAAACATATTTCCACGTTGTGCAAATTGATTCCAGCAACTGCAATCTCCATTCGATCGACCTCCTGGAGAATGGGCAAGAAGCTCAAATTCACAAACAGATAGGCGTAATGAAGGATTCCGGCGGATAGCATGAATGTTGAGAAGGAGAAGCAGAAATAGAGCTATCACCTCAGATCCACGACTAATGCCATCGATGATAACAGCCTTGCCCTTGAGCGAGACCACGCAGCGCTCGTCACCGTTGTAAAAGCGCAGGCGGAGCACCATGTTCTTGGAACTAAGCTCCTGTTGCGCTCCGTCGAAGAAAACATTCTGCTGGAGGTGGGTCACCTGGTAATGGGCAGTCAGCAGCGCCACAACTTTCTGATGGGCAGAGGCGTCGTCCAGGCGGATCTTCACCTCAACCTCCATTTGCAGCGACCAGGTGCTTCACAGCAACGCACCCACCGGCAAGCAACGCTGCAGACAAAGTACACAGACGAACTCAGTGAAGAGGGACACGAAGATGTTTGATATCCAGGCTTGGCCTAAAGCAGGCGATGGAGACCAAATGAAGTGTAGATGGAGGAGAGACCTAGAATTGCAGAAAAATAAACAAAAAAAAAGGAGGGGGGGACTCTCAAAACAGACGCAATCTCAAGACCCTTGCGACAATCGTTGAAGGCGAGCGAGAGAGCATCATCGCATGACCTCGAGAGAGAGAGGTTGAGAGACAGAAATCGCCTCGATGCATTGGCACCACCAAGGGCGTGGCAGTTCAGGGAAGGAGAAGGGAAGTGAGGGGGAGGGAATGGAAGGAAAAACAATGACTATAGATATTTTTTAAAAATTAAAATTAAAAAAATAATTCTAATATATTCTGTAATGATATTTTAGAATCTTAGCCCTAATACCTGTATTATATGGCCATTTAAATTATGTATGTTTTTTTTTCATTAAATTCTTTAAAATATTTCTTTATATTTCAGTTAATTTTTCAAAAATAATTTTAAAATAATTCAGCAGCACAAAATTTTGCAAGTTTGAGAAGGATGTAATAGTCTTTTAAAGTACAATATATATATATATATATATATATTTAGATTTTAAAACATTAATGATATATATGTAGATATGTTTTAATATAAATGTTGCTAATGCCACCATAGTTTTTGCTATTACCACTACATCTTGCTATCCACTTGACATATTTCTTCAATCATTTTTATTTAAATCAAATAATTAAAAAAGTATTGATAAAATAAAACTTGATTTTTTGGTTGAAGGAAAATTTGAGGTGGCATAAGCCAATATATATAAGTTTTATATTTTTTTAACTATCAAGATTTTTGGACTAATATAAAATTGGAAAAATCTTATTTTTATTGCTCTATAATTTCTATACTATGCCAAATACAAAAATTAGGTATACTTGCTAATACATAAGTTTATAAAATAAATTCTTTCAAACTTTTTATGTATTCATATTAGTATTTGTTTTAAATAATAATAATATTATTACTATCATTATTTATAAAAATAATAATAAATTACATAACAAAAATTGGATTCAACATTGTATAATTTTGTTTTGTTAAAGAACTCTTAGAAAACTTATAAAAATACTATTCGAATTTTTTATTTTTATACAAGTAAATAATTTACAATTTAATGTAAAAATTCTATTAGAATTAAAATTATTAAAAATCCTAAATCCTAAATCCTGAAACCTAAAACTTAAGTTTAATAAAATAATCAAATATTAAACTTTAAAACATTTTAAGAAAATGATTCAAAAGTAGAAGGAAGATGAAATATATATGATAAAATTTGAAATAAAAATTTTAAAAAATACTACATAGATTATTATAGAAATAGAATTATAAATCTACAACAAAGAATATACTTGTTTGAGTATAAAAAAATATCATTTTAATTAAAAAATATTATATATATAATTTATGGTTTTAAATATAATATTAATTGTTAATTTTTGGTAATAAAAAATGATATTTTTATTTAATTTATTCTTTAAATTATTTAATATAATAAATTATTATCTCAAAACATACATATTCATATATATATATATATATATATATATATACTTATGGAGTTGTTAAAGCTATATTCTAATTTTATTAAAGCCACACTCCTCTTGTAAGTTCATGATTAGTTTTGTCTATTTTCTTTTTCCATCCCTATTTCTATTCCTTTGTTCTCAACTTTCTCCTTTTTCAATGTTCCTATGTTTCTTGTTAGTACCTTAGAAGTTTCTTTTGTAAAGAGCAATGCCTTTGGCAACATTGATGATGGGATTGCCATTCACAAAGTTGATCTCTTATTCAATGGCATATATAGCATTGAAGATGACTTCCACTTAGAGGCCTAATTAGGACGGAGATGTTTGCATAACATATTTGTCCTACTTAGGCTTGCAAAGGAGATTAGTCTTATTGAATTTGGTAGTAGCATTCATGAACTCTTATAACTTTGAATTTTTACTAATTGTTATAGATGACAAATTTTTCACTATTCTTGATATTGACCTAGATCTATGTATACTTAACATGTAGATGGAAGATATTGTAATATCACCTATAAATATTTTTTTGTGGCTTGTAGTAAAGAAAATATTTCTTTAAAGAGCTTAGAGATCTCTTTTGACCTTAAGATTACATCATATCATTTGAAACCTCCCACTGGAAAGTCTCAATTTGTTGCAATAAATTTTTCATTAATTATTATTCTAATAGAACTTCAAATGAAAAAATGCCAAATCCATGTTCTTCTAGATTCTTTAGTGATACCAAATGATTTAGTACCAAATCATCTCTTTGATGCAACTCTAAATACAAAAGAATTCATATATAATATCTACTTTATGATGGCTGCAACTTCCATTTATTTGAGATGGTGCTTGAGCTTAAGAGTGAAGGGATTAATAAATTTCAGCTTGTCCTACATCACCATACAAAAGAGCGCAGATATAACTTCTATAAGGAGCACCATGATATTGGTATTATAGCATACAATAGAAGCATTGGCAGAACCAACTACAATTTTATTTATGAAGGCAAGCCCTTCTTTCAAATTAGTTTAAATGGCTTTTAACACATGCAATGCATAAAGCCTCTCATGTGGAGACTTTCTAATAATCTTTGGTGACCACTCTAGAATTTGAGCAATAGATATGCTATACAGACATCTTTCTATTGATTGGGCCTTTAAGTGGAGATCATCCACATTGCCATTCATGCCATTGAGCAAGAGATAAATTTTGTGAATAGAAACTCCATCATCAATGTTGTTAGGGGCATCCCTCTCGATAAAAGAAATTTTTTAGCCCTTTACAAGGAATATATAATTGTTTTTTCAAAGGAAATATTTGTTTAGCTATGCAAATCCAAAATGACCAAATTGCATAATATTATTGGATTAGTCATGTTGACTATGCCAATAGAGGTTGATATCTAATTAAATATGTAATAATGATTTAATTATTTTAAAGAAGTAATACTTAGATATTGGAAAAAAAAAAAAAAAAAAAAAAAAAAAAAAATGTGCCAAGTATAATTAATAATTAAAAAAATGAGACTTAAAAATTTTTATTCAAATTATAGTAGTGCATTAATTAGATATTGTCTAAAGAGCAAATTAATATTGTATTCGAGGTAGAAAAAAAACCATACATGTGTACTTATATACTTATTTTAAAAAAATTAAAGATAAATAGATCTTATTTTATTTAGATTAATAAAACATAAATTTAAATTATTTTAGTTACAAATGCATTACACTGAGTCAACTTAGAATTTTTTTTGTATAAAGATTGTGCTAATGCAATTTAATATTGAAAAAAATTACTTCTACATTATATGCATGTAATTTATCATATAATCGTATTAAAATATTAAATTAAAATTTTAAGAGTAAACTAGACAAATAAAATTAAAGCAATTAAATATCTTGGTTTATTTTGTACTAATGGAATAATTAATAATTAAGAAGTACTTTTATGAAGTAAATAACATCAAACTATGTCAATTAAGAACAAAAGATTTTTTCTTTTGAAAATTATTTAATAGTTTAATATTTACATTAAAAATAATATTAAAATTTGAAGAATATAATTAAAATTCCTAAAAAATAAAAATTAACTTGGCAATAAATTATGGGTAAAAATTAATTTTTTCATTTTAATAATTTTAATAATTAATAATATAATCCTGATTAACATTGGCAACAATGTTTTTAATTACATTACTAAATTTTAATAAGTAGTATCAATTATTATAATAATAAATAAAGGAGTGATGTTGTGATATAATAAAAATATTTATTGAAAGAAAAAAAAATATTACACTTTAGAAAATCTTATTTTAAAATATAGTAACAAATTATCTTCAAAATATAGATAAAATTTATGAAGTAATAAGTGGTAATATTACCTTTTTGTAACAATATATTTTATTTAATTTTTAGATTATAAATAAGAAAAAATAAGTTATAATAGAAAAAATATTATCATAGGTATTTTTAAATAGAATTAAATAATAACTCTTAGCATAAATTATCTAAAAAATTACATATTAATACCAAGAAAAGATTGCTTGTTAATCAAGATAAAAACCAGATTCTAAGGCACAAAACCATGCACTTGCATCAATTCCAAAGATTCTTTTGTTAATTGGAGAAAAAGGTTCTAAAGTAAACTTGATAAAGGTTGTTTAATGATTAGTTTTAAGTAATTTGGATTAATATTTACTTTGCAAGAGGTTTTCAATATCAAAGTTTTAAATATTTTGTATTTTAAAAATTAAAAAGAAATTTACATTTGTAAGATTTTTGAGACTATTATAGCATATCAATATATAGAGTTGTAAATCTATTTATTGTAAATTCATTTTGTAAATTTGAATTTGATTGAGTAGTTAGATCAAAAAATATTGAAATTCAATTAAATTATAATCTTAAAATTTGAATTTCAAAGGTCAATGTAGATTTCTTTTATCTTTAAAATTGTGCATGTTAGATTAAAAAAATTACTTTTGGAAAAGTACTGAATTTAGTTTTTAATTATTTAAAAAAATAATAATAAAGAGCTATTGCTACTTATAGATTGGCATTAATCTTGAAAAAAGAAGATGGCCAATACATTTTTTTTATTTCAATATATAAGTTTAACTTTTAAAAAAGTTATATATTTATTATTGACTTATAGTTTGGAATATGTACAAATTTGTAAGCAAGATCTAAGGTTTAGCTAATAATTATTTAAGTTTTAAGCCTATAATAGAAATTAATTAGGATTTATCTAAGATTTTGTTAGAATAACTTTAAGACTTGATTATGATTTTTAGATTTTATATAATATTTTATTATGATTCTTAAGATTGTTTTAGAATTTTATTATATTTTATTAGAATTTATGTAATTTTTTATTAGAATTTGTTTAAAATTTGTTTAGAATTTATTTAGAATTTATTTAAGGTTTCTTTAAAAAAAATATTTTGAATTTTAATTAGATTTTAAAAGAATTATTGTGGTTCAAATGTGCTTTATTTAAGATTTTGTTAAGGTTGTTAGGGTACTTAATTGTTACAAAATACAAGTTTACCTTTCATTGCCAAATGTCCAATGTATTTTTAAGTAAGACAATAAGTAATACTATATAAGCAATAAATAATACATTATATATTTTGCTCAATTTCAAGTATTTTGATTTCAATATTTTGTTGATATGGGTATAGCTGTGCCATTTTCTCTCAATCTAAATAAGATTACAATCAAGATCTAAATAAGAGTAGAAGTTCAAAAAGATCACTACTAAGGTTAATAATTACTATTTGTTTTATTTTATTTTTAAAGATTTGTAGTACTTGATAGAAGACTCAAATAAACATAATGACTTTATAAAGTGTTTCAAGTAGGATAAAAAAAATGCAATAAAGCTACAAGCAAGATATCAAAATTGTTATTGGCAAAAACTTATAAATTAATTTGAATAAAAAAAACATAAAGTTTTTGTCTTGTACAACTTATACAATCAATAAAGATATCTAAATTAAACTGAAGATAATCTAAATGAGTCCCTTCTATTAAGATTTATAAGAAGTTATTTTGATTTGTCACTTTATGTGGAATGAAGACCAATGGTTATACATTAAAAAAATGTGTGGCAAGTAATAAAAGAATTATGCTATGACACTATAATTGCATGATTTTTTGCTAAAAAGCCAAATAATAATATAATATCTTTTCAAAAATAAAGTATAAAAGATTTAGCAAATTGATCTATAATTTATTAAAAAAATGATGGCTATAACTTTTTAGTATTTCAAAACATATATTGTTGAAGTTATGGAATTTTTTGATTTAAGTACCATAGAAACCTTCCATCAACCTTTATACTTTTTTAAATTAGGACTAAAATTTTGATCGAAAAGAAATTTAAATTTCAAATGAAAAGAAGTTTTTGAATTATTTTTAAGTATTGACTTAGATTGCATTTAACAACCTCTTATACAAACTTTGTTATGGTCATATTATAGATTGCTACTATACTTGGTGAAGTTCTTGATTTTGGATTTAAAAACAAAAAAACTTTGAAGTGATACAATTTGATTTCATTGTTGTTACTTAGAAGCTCATTTTGGAGCATACATCAAAATCTTTTATAAATATCACATGATGTGGTATTGGATGCCATATCTCATTAAATGTATATAATAAGCTATTTAAAAAAATTATAAATATAGATTTAAAAATTATATGGATTAAAAGTAATTGATAGGTTGAAAATTTAACCAATAAATTGGCCATGTGTTATACATGTAGGGAACTTATCATGCAATTATGACACATGTCTAAAAAAATAGATATGTATTAAGAGTTTTATAGAACTTTGTCACATAGCTCGTGACTAGATAATATATATGGAGGCAAAAATTAATTCTTTTTCATTCATATCAATATTTTTTTTGTTTTTTTTTTATTTTTAAGTTTTTTTTTTGACAATAGCCATTTTAATTTTAACATTATACCATCTTTAGTGATTATTTATTCTTTTCTAATGACATAAGAGTGTATTAATTCTTTTAATTCTTTTGCACAAAATTACTATATCTTGTTGCCAACATAAAATTCAGGTTGCTTCTTGTAATAAGCATCAAAGTTGGTCTTTTGTTGTTCTTAGGCTTTTTTTAATTGTGCCTTCATTATTGTATGTAGCTCAGATAAATAATTTTCTAAATTTTCTACTATAGGATTATTAATATTTGAAAAGTCAAAAGCATCAAGTTGTCGATGATAATCATAATTAATAAAAAAAAAGTGTTTATTGCATAGAAAAATATATCATATTCAAAAGAAGACCAAACTATCTCAAAAATCAAAGATCCTTCTAATCTACAACAATATAATGTCTCATCACAAAATTGGACAAAATAGATTAGAATAAAACTAAACGGAACTAAACAAAATAGGACATGAAAGAAAAAACCGAGCAAATGGAAACAGAACAAGACAAAATTAAACAAAAAGATGCAAAACTAAATTTTATTAAGAAAAAGGGTCCAAAGCCATACCTAACCAGATGCCTCAAAAAGCCTTGGTTAGTCCTATTCATATCTTGTTCTATTACTGTGGACTTTCTAGGATATTCCTAAGTGGTGGATTCCACCTATATAACTACCTTAAAGTCCTTTTCTAGAAGGTTTTATGGTAGGCTCTACCTAAATAATCGCCCTAACTTTTGTTTAGAATATTCTTTAGTGGATCCTACCTAGTCCACTAATGTAATTTCAAATCTAGAAACTTCCATGATTTTAACTATTTATATAACTATTTTATCCATATTCTATTATAATATTATTATAAGTAAAATCTACCAATGAAACAAGAGTTGTCTAATTATCTTGGTAGTTGATAATATGCTTCAAATATTCCTCCAAAATTCAATTTATGTACTTCATCTGTCCATCTATTTGAGGATAAAAGGCTTAGCTATCTTGCTTCTCTAAAATCTTGATACAAATTAAGTCTCCTATCTGATATAATATCTTTTAAGCAATCCATGATATCAATAAATTTTTTCAAAGAAAAGCTTAGTTATTTTTTTACTTATGATAGATTTTATACATGATATAAAATGTGCCATTTTAATAAATAAATCTACTATTACAAATATAGAATCATACAAACTTGAAACTAGAAGATCCATGATAAAATCCCAAAAAAATAGAAAATTATAGTTATTTTGGAATAAATAATGGTTGAAGAAGTCTATAAGGTTAATAATGAGAAGTTTTTGATATTAAACAAATGTCATGTTGTGGTTTGGCTATCATGTAAAAATAATGGGTTTATATATTTAATATATAATTTACTTAGCAATATGGTAAGAGCCATGTAAGTCGATTTTTGTTGGTTATAGGATGTGGATAGATTATTACCTCAAAAAGAGGCTGTTTAAAAGGGTTTATATTAGAATTTATATAACTTTATTTTCTTTTGATAGTGACTTTTGAAGTTGATCTTATTAGTAGTAACTTTTAAATATTTAGAATCACCTTTGTTAGATATTGGTGACCCTTGAAGTCTTATTTTGTTTCTTTTATATGGTATTTAGAACATATATTGTGTAAATCTTATAAAAAAGAATTGAAAAGGGATTTTTGGTAGCAAAAAAGGTAGTTAGGACACCCATATGAATGAATGGAGATGGATGATATAAATCTCTATTCCTATTGGTCAAAAATCATGATCAATGGACTTCAAGGAAGCTATCTAAGGCTATATAAGGAATTAGGGTTACACTTTCGGGCGATTCAAATATCAAAGGCTAGGATCAACAGGTTCAAGTTTTTAATTATGGTTTTGGTAAAAAATTTGAGTCATTTGGAGTTTTTATGAAGGAGATTTAGGTGCTCAAAGTCAAGGTGTTGAGTTTGTACATGCTGTCACTCTTTTGGATATAACACACACATATAGAAAGGAATAGAGGATCGACAACTGGGGTTGGAGAGAACACTTTCTTGACTACACTTTACATATACTGTTTGATGAATTCTAAGCTGGAACAAAGGAAATATTGGAAGTTGAAGTCAGCACTTGGAATCTAGGGAGTAGTAAGTGACTCAAATTGCTAGTGGTTGTGTTTTGAGCTATATCTTGTGCAATTTGACAAGATTTTGGCTAAAAATTTCTATGAATGTGAGTTTTCATGTTATTAAACTTTGTATGCAAGTTTTGTGGCATTTGAGTTTTGGATTAGTGAGGTATGGTGAAATCAGTATACAAATGTTTATAAAGATGATATGTACCAAACCTTCTACTGAACAGACAATATCTGGAGTTCCATAATGAATTTACAGTTAATTTTTTGTGTAGTAGAAGCTAAGAGTATTATCTTACTCCTTAGAAATTTTGAACTCAATCCAATGGTTGGATTGAAAAAAATTAAGTGTTGAAGTTCTATAATTTTAAAGGGGTTAGTATTACTGGTTATTAACAATTGTTACTACTATCCGTTATTGTTACTATTATTGGTTATTGTTACCAAAGCCAATTACTATTATTATTTTTGATTATTGCTTCTATTTTTGATTACTATATTTATTGTATATATGGGATTTTGATAATTTTTGACTGTTGTAAATAAAATTCAAGTTAGGTGATTTTAACTATAGTTACCAACTAAAAGATAGTTTGGAAAACTCAAGAAGTTGAAGGTGTAGTTAAAAATATAAAGACTTTTCTTGGATTATATAGGCAAAATTTATATACAAAAGCTTATGATATATAAAAGCTTTTTTTGGTTAATTTATGTAAATTTCTTTTCTTAGTTGTTTGTTTTGATCCTCTATTGAAGATAAATTGGTTGTTGATTAAGAAGCCATTAAATCAAAAATAAGCTCTCTACAGCCAGATATCCAGTGTACTCCTGGATAGAAAAATACATACTACAACATGATTATTATACAAGGCCTTTAACTATCTTCTACATTTGAGGCCACAAAAATCTCTGGAGATTAGTTTCAAAGTTTTGTTGTCTCCAAAATGTTTGGTTGCTAGAAAGTTGTCACAAGCTTGAAGAACATATAATCGAGCTCCACCTTCTGGAATATATAATCACTCCTTGAAATTGAGTAGATTATTTTTGAACTTTGTGAGTTACATAATTGACATACTTTTGTATTTAGTACAAAAAAATATACTTAAGGTGTTTACACTCACCAATCTAGTGAGTTAGTGTAAGAGTTTTGAGATAAATAGTAAAATAATAAAATATTAGTTGTAAGAAGAGGCTCTAGGATAATTTTTGAGAAGAATTTTCAAAACAAATATTTTTTCCTTAAACTAGCTAATACAAATTATGATATTTATATAGTAGTTTTATAATTATGAATTATTTAATTAGACTAGAAACTAAGAAGGATCATTGACCCAAGTCAATCCATAAGAATAAAGAAAAAAAAGGGAGGAGAGAAAGTAAATTATAGACAAAAGAAAACGGAAAAAATAAAAATAAAAATAATGAAGAGAAAGAAAAATGGAAATACCTTGCCGAAATTCCCCGAATAAGGGTGAGATCCCTGATCTTCGGGAAGAGGCTGCCGGGATCCAACGAAGTGTATCCCGGCCTCATTGTTCCCTTTTTTCTCTGATTTTTCGCTGGCGGCAAATGCTCTGAAATCTGGGTGTCTGCTGCGGCTAGGATGTGTGGTGCTTGGCTTCTTGTTGCGGTGGTGTCGCAAGCACTTTTGAAGCACTACTTCGGCAAAGGACCGTTCAGGGACACCTTGGTTTGCAGTCTTGACAAATCGTGTTGCGGTTCCTAACGGTAGTACCGTGTACGACGGTTGGTGCTGTGTGGTGGTTTTTCTTCCTCTTCTAGCATTGCGATTGGACGTTTGCGGAGCCGGCGCTGTCCTCTTCGGCTCGAGTTGTTGTCCACCAGTGGTTACTCGGTGACCTCTCTCTTCAATTGTAAGCGTCTTGCGAGTTCTTTCTTTCTTTTGTTCCTGCACAGTAGCGATGCTGCGTCGCTGGAATCAACGACTAGCTTGTTCTTTTTCATGTTCTGGTGTGATCAATCGACGGCTCGGTAGGCTGAGGGCGTGGTTGTAGTGCCGAGAAGTGCATTTTTTCTAGGTCGTGGATTTGTGCTGGTGTAGGAGCAACATTGCGGCGTTATAGTACAGAGGGTTACAGCATAAGGTGTTCTTCAATTGATTCTAGTGCAATCAGTTACTACAAAGGTTCTAATTGCTGCAGCGCTGTCCTTGTAGTAGATGGGGTGATCTCAAGTCGCCTTATTGGGTCGACGCTACTGCATAAGCACCTTCTTCCTTGATATTGGCTCTGGGGAAGGTATTGAACCTTGGACGTAGTTTTTCACTGCGACTAGTACTGCTTTGTGGTGCAGGGTTGGGTGTCGGATTTTGTGGTATACCAAGCCATTGTACAATATTAATTTGGTTGTTTGACTTCTACACAATTGGCAGGAGCAAAGAATCAGTTGCACTAGCTGGACTAGTGTTCTTCAAAGAAATCGTCGTTGTGCAAGCAAGCCTAAGTGGCAGTTGGAAGTCAATCACGACGATCATGAGTTGGAGAGTTGTAAGTGCAACAAAGGATCACGACGGGATTGAAGCATTAGCGATTCTCGACCATCACAGCAACATAGATCACATGCAAGATTGCACCAAAGAGGATACATAGAGGGGGCTTGCGTAGATTTTGCAAGTAGATTGGAGCGTATTTTGCATGCCTAGTTGATCATTTAGTTAAGGAGTTGCAGTTAGATCATAGGAAGCAGATTGCGTTATGGAATTCGTAGGAACTCATCAAAGTCACTAAGAAGGTCAAATTGTCTAGAGGCACATGGTCGAAGCTGCTCAAGGAGGGTGGCATTTTGGTAAAGATATCTCGCGGTGGAACAGAATCGGTGAGAATTTAGGAAGGTTGAGGAAGGCGGTGCAGTGTTAAGTACGAACCAACTCAGCCCTAGGCATAGCTTATGGTGCCGGGCCGACCGTTCACGAGGACTTCACCACACTGTGGAGAGCCTTTTATTGCGGTTGTGTAAGGCGCAAAATTCAAGTTGAAGGTTGTGGCGAAGGAGCACCCAGAACTAAAGGGGGAAAAAAAAGAAAAGAAAAGAAAAGAAAAACCCCTTCTACATTGTCTTGTTCAGTGGAAGAGCACAAGCGGCGGTTCTGGTAGCGGATTCAAATTGACACGGCAGTAGAAATTTGTGTCGAGCTAGCGTGGCTAGTTCCGATCCAATCGACACTTCAATTGGATAGAGGCCTTGTTGTGGAAGGAGAAGAGGCGGAGGACTCCCGCAGCCGATAGGAGGTATTTTGGTGTTGGATTGATCTTCGCTAGCGGCCATTGTTCTTCTTCAGGGGCTTCGAATTCTACAATCAATCGGTAATCAGTATTATTTTGGAAGGACAGTAAGTGAACAGCCAGCGGACCCTCCAACCCCTTTGTGCAACTTCGGCATCCTGATCTGAAGCTAATCATTAGAGCTGCTGTAGACTATCTTCAGATTACTAGCAACTTAGTGGTTGAGATCCAACATTCAATCCGGTTTTGGAAAGTAGGCAAGACATTGAATTTACATCATTGAGTTTGGGTTAAAAATAAATAACTTTATGTGAGTTTAAATCAATTGGATTAAATTAGGGTTTGAATGGATGAATTAGGGTTCTAAATAGATGAACTTTTATGGATATAAGTTGATTATGTTTGGATGATGTTTAATGCTAGATAAAAATTAAAATTATATATATATATATATATATAAATATATATATAAATATAAATATATATATAAATATAAATATATATATATATAAATATATATATATATATAAATTAAAAACTCATAGACTTAAATTAAATCATATAAAAAATTATCTTCAAAATGTGAATTTTTATTGAGTTATTTGAATGCCTTGTATTGGTTTTTTTTTTGGTGGTGTGTGAAAGTGGCTTTATACTAGTTAAGAAAATTAAGAATTTAAGGCAAAGTAGAAGACACCTTCAGTAATTAAATTGGAAGTTAATTAATAAGTTGTAAATTAAAATAGACTTTCAACTAATGGGGATTAGTTTTAGTTCACAAATTTGAATTTAAAAGAAACATTAGAGTTAGAAGAATTATTCTTAATATCTTGACCAAGAAGATTATAGAATATACTTGATTAGAAAACATGTTTTCTATATCTAAAAGAACAATTTTATGTGTAATATCTCTAGAAGAGAACAAACAACCATCTATAACTTCTACACGTACATGTTTGGTTTTTTGAAACTAAAGATATTTCTTATTTTTTGACAAAGTCTTTATTTATAAAATGTGTTAAGGTTCCAAAATCTAATAAGGCTAAGACTTAGTGGCTTTTTGACCCTAAACAAACTTCTATTGTGAAACAAGGTGACGGATGTAAGGAGAGAATAAGACCTTTATTAGATATTATGTAAGATTTTCAGCTGCATGGTTCTTATTGTAGTTAAAAAAACTTGTTTTTTGACACATTGTCCTCTTTAACAACCATGCTCTTTATTTTATAATTGAGTTACTTCTTTAGACAATATTAAGCAATATGCTTGGATTCTCTACAATATAGACAGAAATCTTTTTCAAAATGATAAGTTTTTTCTTACTCAATAAAAAACTTAAAAGATACTGTGTTAATTTGCATATGCTTGGCCTCAACGAGTAAGCTTCCAAAAACATAAAAGATATTTCCATAGCTCAACTTGTACCTCTCTAATGAAATCTTTATTCTTAGCATCTTTTAAAGAATCAATTATCACATGTAATGGCTTCAGCAATAAATTCTTCTAATGAATGTACTCTCAGCATTATCAACAATAAATCTTTCATATTATCTTTCAATCCATATCAAAATTGATTGATAAGAGCTTTGTCATTTCAATCGACATTACAAGTAAGATTTTAGAATTGAAGAACATATGTAGTGGTTAAATGTGATTCTTATTATAGAAATACAAGCTTGGTCTCTACTATCTTTTCTTTGATTTTTTAAAAAAATATAATTATAAACACTTTTAAGAATGAATTCAAATCATAGAATAGTTATGAATCTTTTTCTATCAAAGGTGCAAACCAAGAAACAACACTTCTAGAGAAAATTGCTTTAATAAATTTAACTTGAGTAAATCCATTTGATTATTGAAAAGGCAGCAATTTTACATTGAGCTTTAATTTCTTGTAAAAACCTCAAAACCTTGATCTTGTTCCATCAAACTTCTTTGGCATACATATTCTTGTCTCCCTTATATTTGTAGTAACAAGACCCTTACATTCAATTGTGAATTTAATCTATTTGCATTTCTTAATTGCACAATTTTTTAATGTAGATTTTGAACTTCATTATTGACTTCTTTCATAAGCATAGGAATAGTATTTCTATGATTCACATTAGAAATACATGAGATTTCTACCATAAAAATATTGATAGGGTCGTGAAGATTTGTAATAGTTGCAAATCTATTTTCACTTCTATCGAGAATAGCATCCATAATTTTTTCTTATGTAGACAAATCAAACAAATTTATAAAATTAAATTAGATGAAGATTATCTACAACCTTTGATATCAAATGAAAATTTCAACAAAGAGAAATAATCCATACTTTTTAAGGAAAAAAATCAAAGTTTAAAAATTACAAGTTAGTTTAAAAGTAAGTAGTCAACAACCTTCAAAAATACAATAATAGAAGTGAAGTAATCTACTTACTACTAGAACAAAATAAAAACAATGAGTTAGGATTTTTGTCAAACTGTCAAGGACATGAATCTCAAAAAAAAGGATTCTCAATACAATCTTGTGTTATTCAAAGATTGTAATATATTGAACTAGAATGGCTATTGTTATAGACAAGAAGATTAAAAAGTCTTGAAACAAGACTAAGGACTAAAAAGGTGTTACCATAAGTGAAGAAGGCTTTATTCTTGCTTCTATATATACTCTCTAACTAGGATTTTCATTGTCGAATTACATATATTCTTGCTTAAGAGTGTATTAGATACCTAATTGTAAAAGGTAAGTAGAAATACAAAAATAATCCTACTAAGTCTAACAAAATCTTAAAAAAACTTAAAATAATCCTTAATAACTATAATCAAACTTTAATCAATTTAAAAGAAGTTACAAAAAAATACAAAGAGGACATAAATTAATCTAAAAAAATAATGATAAAAAAAATTAAATAAATATAAAAATAAATCTTCAAAAAAATATATAAATAGAAATAATTAAATAAATAATAAAGATTTTTTTAAATATTAAAAATAGAAATCTTGAGTAAATCATAAATAAATCTTAATCAAATCCTAATTTAATCTTAATAAAAATTCTAATAAATTTTAACCAAATTCTAAATCAATCCTAATTAAAACCTTAATTAAATCTTAATAAATTTAAATTAAGTCCTAGAAAAAATCCTAATTAAAATCCTAATGAATCTTAACCAAATTCTAGATCAAATATTAATAAAATTCTAATAAAATCCTAAATTCTAAATTAATTCTAATCAAATCTTAATCAAATCTTTAAAAAATCTTGATCAAATCTTAATCATATTCTAATCAAATTTTAGTTAAATTTTAATAAATCCTAATTAAATTCTAATCAAATTTCAATAAAATCCTAAATCTTAATCAAATCTTAGACAAAATTTAAATCCTAATTAAATTTTAGGTCCTAAACCAATTCTAATCAATTTTTAATCAAATCCTAAATTTTAAATAATCTCATAAGAAATCCTATACCTGATTAAAAATTCAATAACTAATGATGGAACCATTGATATTGACTCAAAATTTGCATACCCTGCAAAAACTAAGCTAACAACAAGCACAACAAATTTGAAGAAGATTGCACATATCAAAGAGACAATAATCCCAAAACTCTGCTCAGGGGTTGACTGACGTCCTTTTCTAACCTTGATGTTGATATTCATAAGCTACAATCTCTTAATTTTACCCTTTATTTTATTCTATTTTTTTGTAATTATTATAAATCAAGTTAGCTACCTTTGAACAAAATTATATTTTAATCTAATTGATAGATTGACAGATATCTTAGAAATCCTCATCAGTGCTTTAAATCCTAATTTCCAACACTACAATCGACAAAAATCCACATATGCTTTAATTTAATTGTACAATTGACCTTTTGATTTCTCACACAAATTTACAATAAATATAACAATAATCTTTCTAGTTTTTACCTATAAATGTGCTAAAAAATCCAAAAAATTCTAAAATTTATAAACTTTTTATTTTTCAAAATTCAAATCTACAAAGTACATTATTAACTTTGAAAATTCCTTAAAATCTCAAAATTAATCCAAATGACATGAAAAAAAACTTTTAAAAATCTCTCTTAAAGTTTTATTTTGAGATTTTATTCTAAGATTGTCAAAATAACCTTGGAATCACTATAAATGTATAGTTTTGTACCTTGGGATTTAATTTAAATTTAAGTTAACAAATAGTCCTCTCCAAATATCAATTTTTGATAATTTGTGGTATTTTTTGCTTAAAAAATTTTTGACTCTCTTTTAATATTGTCTATTTTATTTATCCTTGTTTTTTTATATCTTTCTATGAGATTCTTCTTTAATAGCATTTATATTTTTATTTTTTACCATATAGTTGTCTTACAACATGATTACATGGCAATGTTTTACAGGACCTCCAACACGTGTTGACTTTACAAGACACATGTCTTAACTTGCAAGGTAAGTTCTTTATATGTGCAACACATTGTTAGTTTGTTTTACAAGTTATCAACCTAAATAATACATAGCTAATTTGTTGATCAAGTTTCTAACCTATCAATCAACTATAAATATGTATAAAGTCAATGTTGCTTTGATAAAGCTTTTGAAAAGCTCCCTAGAAGATATAATAAAATTAATCTATTTTTACCTATTCATATGTATAATTATTAGAATAAATATTGATATATATATATATATATATATATATATATATATATGGTATTTGAAATCATTCTTGAAAGTATTTATGACCATATTTTAAAAAGGTATAGAAAAAAAGTAATAGAAATAAAATTTATATCTTTTCAATAAAAGTCATAGTCATTTAACATATATATTTTTAATTTAAAACTTGGCTTATGACATGGATTAGAATGATAAAGGTTTTATCAATAAATTTTGATAGGGATTAAAAGATAATGTTAAAATTTATTATTTAAAATACCAAAAGTAAATTTATTAGAACAATTTATTGTTTAAGTCATTGTATGCAATAATTGTTTTTTTGTAACAATGAAATTTTAAGATAAATAAAACAACGATTTGATTAGAAAGGAACAAATCAAGTTATGATAAGAATTCTTAAATTTCATAAATTTATTCATTAAAGTCAAAATCTATGAAAATTGATAGGATATTTTTTAAATTTTTTATTGATTAGAAAAAGACTTATTATTGTAAAAAAGGATTGTGATTATATAATAGAAAATCTAAATATACTATTCAATATTGAAACCACAAAATAAAGAGCATGATTATCAACAAAGATAATGTGTTGGAAAATAAGTTTTTTAGCTACAATAGGAATTTTTGTTACAATATAAAATTTTTGGCTTGAAATACATTAAGCACCT